GAGGAACTGAGAGATGAGATAAGGACCTTGAAACAAGATAAGAAAAGTAGTTTGTGCAGTCAGTGGCCACATGCTATTTCATCACAGTTAAGAGCTGTTTGGGAATCAGAGAAGTTACACGAGTGTTAGATTTCAAGAAACCTAGATCTCTTCATCCCTCAGAACTTTCTAAGAACCAGAAGTATTCACCGTTACTGCCAATGTGGGAGAACACTAGATAATCTTAGAAACAACATAATTAGTATGCAGCATAATTATTGATCTTCTGAAATAAAAGAAAGCAAGGAGTTGGAGGTAGTACTTGGATTTCATGAGAGCCTGGCAAAATACAAACAAACACACCAAGGAGTTAAAAAAGTTTAATGATAAACGTTAATGTTGAAGTTTGGCCATTAGATGGCAGAGTTTGGTATGGAGTGTCCATACTTACCTGTGACTAATTGTTAGTTGTATTTTGAGGTTGTGGTAATGCCAGGAATCACAGCAACCTGAATTCTGAGTTTGTTGTTTGGTTTTCCTTAAACTGGTAACTACAGCAAACACGTGCCATTTACACCACAAAATAAGTAGGTCTGCGACTCAATAATTTATCCTTTCAGAGTAGCTCCAGCGCATCTTCTAAATTATAGCTACACTCACCCCTGTGAGGGATGAGGAGAGTGCCCATGTACACATGTATAATAGATATAAAACACGTAAAAAGCAACTTATCTCTTCATAGGAGATTTGAACACAGCTAAAATGGCAATAGTCCCTCAGAGTAAGAGAACTGATGCAGTCCTGACCTAGGAGACAGAAGTGGAAATACTAGAAGGCACTAGAGGCAGAAACTCTGTATGGACTGCTACAAAGACTCGAGGACATGGTCCATTGAAGAGATGGCAAGAAAAATAACTAGCAGTAACATACTTTTGTGTGTAAAATTCAATTCCAAACAGACGATATCCGAAAACCCCAAAGTATTGAGTATATAATAAGTGTAATGAGAACAGCTCAAACATGTGCAATAATAGGAATTATTTTAAGCCAGTACATCTTCAGATACTTTAATAGTAAAAAGGTCAATAGCCTGTCCCACTCATTGATAGGCTTCTGTGGGGTGGGAGGACCAGGAGGTGGTAGGGAGCTTTTTCCTATCACCCCGTGGCTGGAAAGCATGTCTTTGTGGCAGTTTTGTAGAGCTCCAGCTCAGTAGTTGTAGCATGCCAAAAATAACACCTGCCAGAGCCCTCAGTGAATTTTCATCACAAACACTTTGGTGAGCAAATCAGATAATTAATATTAATATTTAACAATTCTTACCAATCACTTAGAGACACCTGAATGCTACTATCTGAAAAAAATCCTTTATTCCTGTTTGATTTCAGACCATTTACAGCACAGCCTATAGACTCTGCTAATAAACAGCTGACAGTAGGTGGATGTGAGGTGTAAACTGATAAAATCCACAGCTGTAAAATTATGGTGGTTGCCAGCCTTATACATGACTTGCACCCCAGAGAGATCCCCACAACTCCAGTCATGCTACAGTCTGAGTTCTTCATGCTACACTCTGAGATTTTTCCATAGAGAGGCAAGGGATGGTGGCAAATTCTCTTCCATTGATGGGCTGATGTTAGGATGGGGTGGGCAATATATGGTTCACAGGCCAAATCTGGCTTGCCAGGCTCTCTCATCCAGCCCATGGTGCCCCTCAGCGAATTGCATCCCACCCAGCCCTTCCGCCCACGAGGGTGGAAACGAAGCACCCATGTGTACAACCCCGCAACACACCCTATTGGGCCTCACTCCCACCCTCTTGGGCAGAAGGGCTCTGCCCAGCCAGCAGCATCCAGGTGTGAATCCTGCTGCAGCTGGAACCTGCTCACTCCTGGCAGCAGGTGAGGGGGTTGGAGTTGCAGCTGGGCAGAAGTGGAAGCGCAGCATGGAGCCTGCACCCAGAGGGGCAGCAGGAGCACAGAGCTCAGCTGGACAGGGTGTGGGTGTGGGTGTGGGTGTGGGTGTGAGAGTAGGGGGTGTAGAGATGCCACACCCTCCCCCCCCCATGGTGTGCAGCCCCCGCTGCCGACAGCAGCAGCAGGCAGGGAGGTCAGGGTGCTTGTGCCCAGTGCGGGTGCCCAATGGGGCATGGTTTTGGCCAGCGCTGTGCAGGTGGCAGGGAGCGCAGCCTGCCCAGCTGCCTTTATTGCTGGTGGTCCATGCTATGAACCTGCAGCTCCAGCACTCACAGCGTGGAAAGCCCCTCACTGGAGCCTGCTGCCTCCCCCACACCCTGCTGCACATGTCCCCACACTCTGCTGGGAGTGGAGGGAGCCCCGCTCCCTGCTTCCCCATGGAGTCCAGTGTGGGGCTTCTCTGCTGCGAGTGCGGAGCTCCAGGCATGCTGCACAGAGCTTCTGTAATAGAGACTGCCTGTGCTGCCAGCAGCTGGGGCTGTACACCATGGGGGGAGTGTGTGGGGGCCCCGACACTTCCCACCCTCCCTCACACCCCACAACCCCCATCAACATATTCATATGCCTCCACATACCCTATGCCCCCCTACACAGCCACACCCTCTCACAACTCTCCCCACACCCCACCATACACACACACACCTCACACACCCCACCATACACACAATAATAGTGTGACACTTTATTTTTTAGTTATTATGTAATGCCTTCTATATACAGTGCACAATCACAAGTCATGACAAATATTTTTTGTAATAAAATTTAAATATATTATAGCAGGTGTTTGACTTCTAGTGTATGATTTAGTTTTTTTCTGGTTCTAAGATGGCAACCCCCCTCCCAAATGAGTATTGGGAGAGGAGGCAGCAAGAGCAAAGGACTTCCAGTGGCAAAGGTCAGGGATTAGGGGGCAGGTCTTCTGGTCCTAATGTGGCAACCAGGGGGTGAGGCAACAGTTAGGGAACGGGGCTATCTTTGAGGCCCCGAACAGCTCGCCAAAGCTTGGTAAGCAGCCCTCCACCTGAAATAATTGTCCGCCCCTGTGTTAAGAGCTGTTGCCTTCCAAAAACGTATATGCCATTTTGCCTTTGTTCCAGCCACATAGCTGTAAGATTTATTTACTATTTATTTTGATTAATTATATAAAAAGATGTCACCCTTAACATAACTGGTTTAACTACTTTATTCAAACATATAATAGCGAATCTAAGCCTCTTGTGAATATCTAATTTCCTATTCCACCTGATTAAAAGTCCCCATTTTTGCACAGTTAAATGAGACAATTTTTGAGCCTTGCAGAATGTCTGTTGGGGATATCATAACTTTCTAATATATTGCAAATCCTAGTTTTTCTCTGAGACTTTTGGGGCTTTAATAGACCAAAGCAGAAGTTAAAGTGATTGGAGAATGCCCTGAGCTATAACAAGAGAGCAGTAGCTCTTGAGTGCCTCTGGCAATCTCAACTGTGACTATATAGTTTGGGGGGAGAGACCATCTCTCATGTAACTTAGTAATAGATCATTTAGGGGCTTAAAGTGAAAACTAGCATGCAGAAACTTAAAAGTCAGGTCTTGAATGTCTAGCAGTGAGTAATCTTGATGTGAAGTTCCACTACTGCATTTTTTTAAGTAGCTTAAAGGTGAACCATAACAAATGTCTGATTTTGACATGAAGACAGCACTGGAAAGAAACACAGTTGCTTTATGAAATGCTGAAAAATGACTTCTTAGTTATATTTGCCCAGCCTTAACAGCAGCCTCAGGCCAAAGCAGAATTTAAAATCAGTCATATCCAACCTTTTGCAGGCATGCCAAAGTTAAGTCCTGTCCCCCTTTCTGAGTGCCTCTCTCATCCTTGCCCTGAGGAGGTGCATCCAGTAGAGATTTGTCCTGGAATGGAGGGGGAGGTGGGGCTTGAGCCTCCGACCATGTGGAATAGATCAAGGGCAGGACACTGCTGTGAGAAGAGGTTTCAGGTGTTACCTCTGAAAGCCAAGTTCAACCCCCCTTGGTCCTGCGACTGCCACAGTTTTTTATGGCAAGTGAGTCTCTAAAGCCCTGAATCTGGCAATGGCCAGGGAAAGGTTAATCTAGCATTTTGTGGTGACACTTGACACCTCTTCTTGCAGCAGTGATCTGCCCCTGCTCCACATACCCAGAGGCTCTAGCCCTTCTGTCTCCATTCTGGTGCCTCCTTTTATTGAACACTGGGAGCTCACACACCACACATAGCAGCTATCCATGACACTTGTAGCCTACGTGCTAGGGGTTGGTGACCCCTGATTTAAATTATGAACAATGGTCTCACACTGCCTATGTCAGTGATACTCACCTGGGGTGCACCCTTAAGATCCCTTCAGGGGTTCTGTGGGATGCCACGCAATGTTAGCATTGTTAGGTTGCCAAGATGATTCACAAGATAAACCCAACGTGATTTCAAATAAGAATTCATAGTGTTAAAAAAAATGTTGACCTGTTGTGGTTTTTCTGAGTTTTCTTCAATGGATAAATTGCTGTACTATTTTTCCATGGACAAAAAATGAGTGAAAACTGAGAGCTGACATTTTCCAACGGGTGCCTTGAACCTAAGGTGGGGTGCCTTGATTCTGAAAAGGTTGAGAACCACGGGATTATGCCAGGGTCAGCCAACCTTCCCACTCTCTTGAAGACATTGGGGCACTTGTTCCATTGCCATGGTAGGATTAATTGGACATTCAGCTGAGTGTCATCGTATGAGAACTACATGCAGTTTTGGATATTTTGTTACCAGAAACATGTTGATAAATTAGAAATGTGAGGAGAAGCCACAAAAGACAATTAGGGTGCTGAAATAATAGTTTCTGAGGAAACCTGGGAAGTTAAATAGCTTAGTTTAAAAAGATGCAGAAAATGTAAAAGTTTCTGAGGGATATAACTGTTAGCAAGGGAGAAAAATGACTTAGTTCTACCTCCTTGTACAACCCTAGGATTACAGCAGATGACTGCTCATCTCAGCTATCAGTTCATTGTCATTTATCAGTGACACAAGGTTTTTCTTTTCTTTCAGGTACTTTGACATACCAGACAGAAACTGTGCTGCTCAAGAAAATCAGTTACCTTCAGTATCGTATCCAGGATCATACCCAAATTCCCAGTTTTCTCAAGCTTTCCCAGCAATTTCAATATCTGTTGCCTCAATACCAGAAATGCTCAAAAAGGTAAGGGCAAATCAAAAACATTCTCTCAGAAGATGTTGCCAGTTTTGAAAAAAGTATGTAACATTTAATGAAATCTTAAAGTACAAAAGTGTACTTAAAGAAAAAGTACTGTTTTTTCATACTATTGTAAAAGACTTATGAACTCTTGAAATTTAGCAAATGAACATTATAAACTGAAACAATCTAGAAAGATAAATAATGAATACTATTGCAATTGTGTGTCAGCAGTGTGAAATGGCTCACGGCAATCTTCCACAGAGATACGCAGACCATTTGTCTGTTTTTCCATTTTAGATTTTATTTCCATAAAATATGTATAAGTCAGTAAATAATGTTGATACAGTCAAGTGACATACTCTTCTATACTTACTTTAATTACTAGTATGCAGTGTTTCCTGTATAAAGTTTTCCAAACAGGGAGAGTTGTCAGCAGAATTGCTTTTTCATTTTCTCCAGTAGTGTTACTCATCTCGTTGACACAGGTATTGTTCTATGCCAGCAAGCTCAGGGAAAAAATACTAATTATTTCTGTACTGACTGTGAGAACTGTGTGTCAGCTAAGGTTGAGTAATATCTTTCCTGCCATAATTTATATTAAAAGCATTTTTCTCAGTGATCAAACTAACTTTCCCATAAGCAGAAATAAACAATGGGTGGGTAACTGAAGAAAAAATATTCAAGATGGAGGACTAGTATTTACTATCTGAATGTATTAGATTGTAGGACTAGAAGAGACCACTGAAGTCATCTAGTCTGACTTCTTTTGTAACACAAGCCAGTAAACCTCTGCAAATAATTTCTATTGGAGATCTGTAACTTCTGTTTAAGCCATAGCCGTTTAAAAAGACATTGAGTCTTAGGTTTGAAGATTCAAGCTACTTCTGAAGGGCAGTTTTAATACATGACTAATATTTGCATTCCAATTAAAACCTGAGGTCAGCTACCCATTAAGTAGCTCTTCCACTTCTTGCTTTCCTATTATTGTTGGCAAAACCAAGGACTGAATGTATCAAAAACAAGCAATAGTTTGCTGCTTGCTTCTTCCTGAACTTTAAGGTAAACATACATATTCTTAATATACAATTCAACACTGTCACAAATCCACCCCAAAAGAAAGAATGATTTTGGGGTTCAGTGTGTCTTGTACAGAGATTTTGGTCTTATTCTTGATTTAGCAAACCTCATGTTTGGTCTCTTTCAAAAGCCAATAAGCGTATTCATTTGTATCACCTTTGCTGAATTATGTTATACTGTTTGTATGCATCTGTGCTATATACATGTCTGAAGAACTGTGGTATGCAGGCTGGATAAATAAAGGGAAGGCAAAACTGTTAGGTATCTCTGGCCAATTGTGTTACGAGGCCAAGAGCATTTACCCATCCCAGACACATGGCAAAAAGGGCTCTTGTTAAGTTGGGCATCCAAAATACAGAGATTATCAATCTGCCAGTAAGGAGAAACATCTACCTCACAATAACAAATATATTTTGAGAAGCTGGGCCACGAATTTGGGAAATTTCAGATTCCAGGGAGGGAGGAAGTTTCTGGAGGGTCCTCAGACTCCTCAGCAAATAGAACAATACTGGTGAGGGGCTGGCGTGAAAGTACTTAGGAGCTCTCTGTTAGATCGTGGGGGGTCTTTGGATTTTCTTACACCTTCAGGTAAATCTAGGTCCCCAGTTAGAGACCTGGTAGGGTCAGCAGATAGGCTGATCTCTGGCAATACTGATAAGACTTGATGAAGGACTGTGGCGTAGCCAGATGAAGAGGGTAAGAAATTGTATCTGTTATTTTTCATTCTGTCTCCAAACAATATGGTCAATTTTTCTTGTACAATTCTTTTCTACTACATAAATTGTTTTACCAATTGCCTGTGATAAAGCATGATATCAGAGCAGGTGATATTCCAGCATGCCTCTTTTATGGAGGGGGGGACACATACATTTTTCATGACCCAAAGGGAAAGCAGCTGGAGCTGGCAAAGTTTCTCCTGCTGAAGCTGTGGAGTCTAACATAAGGGCAGTGGAGCTGAGCCTTGCTGGGTCCAGAGTCATCCCATAGACAAACCTTAGCTCAGGGGTGGGCAATTATTTCAGCTGGCAGGCCACTTAAGTTTTGGTAAGCTGCCAAGGGCTGCAAATGTAATATCTTTTAGAAAATATTTTAACAAATTCTAGATAAAAAACAAATCATATGCTAAAAATCAAATATCTATAACATTTTAATTTTATTTCAGAAAATAATTTTGTCCTGATATGCATAATAGCTCAAAATAAAATCTTACTCTTGTATATTGTGGGAGGGATGTGTGTATGAGGCAGTGGGGGGGATGTGTGTGGCGTGCAGGAGGGTGTGGGTGTGTGTGTGTGGTGGGGGGGATGCCCACACGCTAGGTCCCAGGAACTGGCCCGAGGTGGGGTGGGGAGCAGGGGGCACATGCAGCAGAGCTCATCCAGGCAGTGCAGGACAGGTGTAAGTGCAAGTGCGGTCCGTGCCCCCCACATTCAGCCTGTGGCTGCCCTCATGGCACTCCACGAGAGGCCAAGCCCTGCCAGGTCCTTCTACGAGCAGCTTGCATCATGCATCTGCCCACACCCACCCTGCACCCTCTGGCCTTGGCCTTGGCCAGCATGCACAGCTTCCCAGCAGAGCTGCTCTGATGCTGCTGCAGGTACCTGGGTACTGCTCAGCTCCCCCTGCCTCCAGTGCCTCCTCCTCCTCTTTTTCCACCCTCTCCTGTCCTTCCTGATTAAGCTAAAGCTTCTATGCAAATATTTAAGTTCCAACACGTCTGTCATAATGATTAAATCATAATTTTGGCTATGTATAATGATTTCAAGTCCTTCCTGTTTATTCTAAGAATCTTCATTGCTCTCCACTGAACAAGTTAGAAAGAATCCAGTGTAGAGCAATTAAAATGACTTGCAAGGAAAGGTTGAAAGAACTAGTATTATTTAATCTGGGAGATTTGATAACAGTCTTCATATTGCAGCACAAGAATATATGTAGAATACTAAGAAGAACTTTCTCATTATGAAGGTAGTTAAGCATTGGAATAGGCTACCTAGAGAGGGTGTGGAATCTCCATCTTTAGATGTTTTTAAGAGTAGCTTAGATAAACATTACTTTGGGATGGTTTAAATAGGGATGAGCTTGCCTTGAGCAAGTAGTTGGAATGGGTGACCTCTTGAGGTCCCTTTTAGCCCTGCTTTGCTGTAATTCTATGATTCTACTCCTCGTATTTGTATATAGATATGTCAGATGTTTGGCATTTATTTGTTGCTTTATTCCAAGCTGTGGACACGTGTGGATGAAAATGTTAGTTGTACATGAAAAAGCAAGGTGTAAATATCTGAAAACTACTAAGCAAGAAGTGAAGTTTTTTAATATCTTTTTTTGGACCAAATGAATGGGAGAGAGAGATGTAAGGCTTTGAGCACAGAGTGGCCTTTTCAGGTCTGGGGCTTACTGCTTTTCCTAGACTTGAAGAAGGATACTTTGTGCATAACAGTTTGTCTAACATCTCTGCCACCTATATGGCTGATCCAATAAAACATACCACCAAAAAAGCCTTGCTTCTTGATATTTCCAGAACCATGATGACTACAGCAACACTCTAAGTCTATTAAAAACTACTAGGCTTTTATAACAGTCTTCTATAACAGTCTAGTAGATACTTATTAATTCCTTTGGGTAAGTACATTAATTGCAAAAAGCTGTTTTTGCATGCTCCATTAACGGGCATGCCAATCAACGTGGCAGAAGCGAAACCGGAAGTCCCACTGTTCATGCCTCTCAGGTAACTGGCATATTTGGTTATCCGGCACCCCCATTCTCCAAGGGAGCCGTATAACAGACCTTTTGCTTTAGTTCAATTGCACTAGCATGATTGCATCTTTAATGCCTGCATAGACCCATCTTTCAGATTGCTTGAGTTCATCGTGCAATAACCTATGTTATATGAAATTTACTATTTTAACGTTGAACAATGAATATCAATAGGAACTACATAATTATTATGAATGAACTAAACTGGGAAACAATTCCATGAATGTTTGACCCATTTTTTTCACTCCCAATGAAAAGTAAATCACTTGAGGTCCATGTCACAGACATGATTATGTACTTTTCAGTCAAACTTCAATTGAACAAGGACTAAGTGGTTTTGAAGCCTGGTTCCAGAGGACCCCAGATTATGAAAAACTCACATAATCTTAAAATATAAAATAGGCACAGGTGGTCTTTACAAGAGGGGAGGGAGTATTAATCAAGTTAGCTAAACTTGAGTGAAAAATGCATAAATCAGGTCCTGTGGCAGATTCATTTTTTACTTCCTTTCCTTTTTTCTGTTCTTGTGACAAGGTATTTAGCAGAATTTGCAGATTCACTGGAATCTGACAGGCTGCACTGTGAGTGCTTCTGCTATGGTGTCAAACTTGCAACCTTCAGGTTGTCAGCAGTGCATATTAATACCTGTACCACCTCAATCCTGATCTTTACTGAAAATGAGCAAATTAGCTATTCACTAACTTCACTCCCACTCATACCACCAGACACTAGCAAAAAGCTTGGTGTTGGATGCACCTGTGCAAACATAAAAGTGCTTTATCATCTTATTTTATGTTGTTGGCATAACCCTGCTGAAAGAAAAACTGTTATTGGCATATCCTGTATCTACATTAGGGCCTTATAGCTAAGGGGCATGTAACTAGCAATAGAGGCTCTGTAATATAGACAAACAGATCCTTGGTCTTTCACAGTCCACATGCAGATCCTGTTCACTCTGAAGAAAGATTGCAAATAAATCACAAACTTTAGAAGAAATTTCATCACAAGAACTCCAGCTAACACACTTCACTTTAATTAGCTTTTTCTAGCAGCCATTCAGATTTAAAATAACATTTTTTTTGTAACTCATGTTAACCTCAGTCTTAACCACCATCCCCTCTAATGCTGCCTCCACCCTTTGTGTGCAGGTGTGACTTTGGCCAGGTCTAAGT